GGTGGTGGTCCTGACACCAAGACAGAGCCCAAACCTGCTTCACCGGAACCTACCCCTACGTCTTCAGGCTGCAGCCAACAGCTAACAGAGGCACATTCAATCCACAACTTGTTTGTCTCAACATAAAGGCATCTTTTATTACAAACAAATCAATTAAGTCGGAGCAGAGAATTCAAAGGTACAAAGTGCTTTTGAATTTCCTGAACCTTACTGCCATCGGCTCTGGAACAACAACAATTCAGGTTCAAGAACCCGAACCACGCAAAGCAGAATTCAAAACTACGACCTCCTCACGTATATACATTTGAAGTGCATGCAGCAGGTATTTCCACTTACGAACCGTTACATTATCATCCCATTTACAAATATTGCTTCAGTTCAACACTGCTTGTGACTATACATTTCCAAGTGACACATCATCCACTTACTTGCTTTAGAGTGAAGATAAAATGCACATAAAACGATCTGATATAAATAAACTCACAAAGATAAACAGTACATTTCAAAAAAAAATTTCAGTTCTAGCTTACATAGTAAAAAACTCTAAATTTTCCTTGTATTTACAAAACATAGCAGATTTTGTACTAGCATAGACAGTATTAAAAATAATTTGCATCTTCACTATTAAGATAATCTATTAAAAGAAGTCTCAGAATAAATAGCAACAAAAGTTAACTTTAATATATTTCTTAATTAAGGCTGAGGTTTAAAAGTCAAATCCTACAATCGCATACATGTATATGATTTAACACGTATGAGAAAGAGGATTTAACCCTTTGTTTTTTGAAAATAACAACAAATATGCAAGTATTACTAAAACATAAGTTGATTCATCCTTGGACTGGTGGGTTGCAAAGCTCTTACACCTCCTTTGACTTCATGTGGGAATACAGCCCCAAATATATCTTCATGGTATCGCTTTTGGCTCTGCAAAAGAAGAAAGGAAACCCAAGACTTGGATTAAATACTGCGAGCTCCTCCTTATGTAACAGTTAAGTAACGAAAAGATCTTTTACACTTGTATGACGGGTTCTGTGACAGTGGGATTTTGATACTGTCAATGAAGGGAACCCATCTGAATGCCAGACACGTGCTCCAGGACAAGTTCTGATAACAAAAGCGTCCTTAAAAAGCCAGCAGACCCCGGGACTGTGTTTTCAGTAACGGGTCCACCTTCCTCCGTTGGTACAATAAAGTCTGAAACTCTCAATGTGGCAGACACCCTGCAAAGCTACTGTCCAGGACCCAAAGGGAGACACTGGGGATAATGGCAGATGAGCATCAGGTGTCACACCCCAACCAAACAGAAACTGTGTTTTAAATCATGGTGGGTGGACTGAGCTGATGGCTTAAAGCTTTTTCCCTTCTGTGTTCTGCTGAAAAGCCGCTCATGGCAGATCTTGCACGTGACTTTGAAGCCTTCTGTATCCCATCCTGGAGCACTGTCTGACTGGAAAGAATGCCTTGCGTGTCGTAGCATACCTTTAGCTGGAAGAAATACTCCTCTGCCTGCTGCTCACTGAGGTTCAGATTTTTTGCAAGCATCCCTTTCAAAGTCTGAGCAACATCCTTAGCCATGCGTACGTCCCCACAGACGTACAGATGCCCTTTCTCATTATGCAGGAGGTTGCACACTTTTTTCTCCAACTTGCTTTGAAGAATGTCTTGAACATAGACCTTAGAGACAGAAGGAGGATCATTAAACAAGGTTTTCTAAATGCCACTTTGGCTATTGGCTTTTCTAAATTCAATGTGAGTCTGCGTAGTAAGGTTTTAACTGCCCTGTCTATTCCAGCTGTGTGTTACACCACAGCCAAGGAGAAGAAAAACGTCTCCACGCTGCCTTTACAAGCCCCAGATTTGGAGGCTAGACCTGTCTCCTGAATAAACTAGAGCAGGCTAAGACTCTTCTTTTTTAGAACCAGTTACAACTGCCAAAGCCTCTTAGCTTGGGAGGAGAGTAGGAGAGCTAAAGAGGGTGCTGCTGTTTTCTCCAATCAAGATTTCATCTAAGCAAAAATAATTTCCAGGGCCACTGTCTCATTGAAATGGTGACAAATGGCCAGAGCCAACTCATTTCTAACTCATGCGCTAATCAAACCCTGCAAAATTTAGTTTCTGAAAATGTTTCAGCTTCCAGTTTCGAAGCCTGATGGCACTGAAGGTGCCTCTCTACATGGCAGTGAGGGGTTTAGATTTACACAGCTTGCTTGCGCTGAAGAGCACGCTGAAGCAAAATGCTGACTTTGTTTGAAGAGCATTGTTAAACAGAGCCCAGATCTTAGCGTGAGGAACCATTCTGGAAGGAGCCAACCCTTACGGAACAAAGGACCCAGCCTCACTTTAGCTTGGCCAGGTTGTCTGGAGTAAGCTGTGTAGACTTCCTTCAGGACTCCCTTCCTCTTCATTTCCTCAGTCTCTTCCCTGTAGATGTGATCCATGTCTGGCCGCCGGCAGCCAAACAGCAACGTCATGTCACCACCTTTGATCCCTGAAACCAAGATTGGAAAGTTTTTTTGTCTTTCCTGGCAAGGCCTATCATCTCTTGTGACTATTCCCACCGAGGGCCCTGTTGTCACAGCTCTGTCCAGCTGTCTGTCCCGCAGCTGGAATGCTGTGTTCAGCTTTGGTCCCTGCTGTACACGAGAAGAGGTGAACGGGCTGGAGAGGGTCCAGAGAAGGGCCACAAAGATGATCAGAGGACTGGGAAGGCTGCCGTATGAGGAAAGGCTGAGGGAACTGCGTTTGCTCAGCCTTGAGAAAAGAAGGCTGAAGAGAGCCCTTATCCCCATGTTCCAGTATGTAAAGGGCGGCTACAAAGGTGGAGACTCCCCTTTTACAAGGAGTCACATGGAAAAGATGAGGAGTAATGGCTGCAAGTTACTCCAGGGGAGATTCCAACTGGACACAAGAGGAAAATTTTTCACAATGAGAACAATCATCCACTGGAATAATGTCCCCAGGGAAGCGGGGGATTCCCTGACACTGGACACTGAAGACTCATCTGGACAAGGTGCTGGGACATCTTCTCTAGACTGCACCTTTGCCAAGAAAGGTTGGACCAGATGATCCTTGAGGTCCCTTCCAACCTGGTATTCTATGATTCTATGACTCTCTGATTTTCTAACCAGCCCTTCTCACTAAACAACTGAGAAACAGTGTGAGGGTGTCTCTATGTGACAGCTTCTAATTACAGGGTCTCACAGGAGGACTGAACCTGCCCAAGTCCCTGGAGAACTATGTGGAATCACCTGCTGGAGCAGGTTCCCCAAATGGGTCGATACTGGTGGGCCAGAGTGTTTCCTCTCCATATTGTGGCCCCTGGGTGAGCGCCTGGGGCAGTCACTGAACACACAGTATTTACAAGGACGCTCCCTCCAAGTGACCAAATACCTCAGGACCACCAAAATGGTCTCAAGAGGGATGGACTAGCTGTTTCAGGGCAGCGTTCAACCAGTTTGGGGATCACAAATCTCTACGGGGTTTACTTGGCTAATGTATCTGGGTGTCTCCACCTGCAGAGATTTTGGCTGGAGGAGAAAGGATGTCCTCTGGGCTGGACAGTTACGCCCTCCCCCTTGTGACAGTCCCCATCAGTACCTTTCCTTTCCAAGTCATAGAGGCGCTGCTGCCAGAAACTTCTGAAAGGAGCAATTCCCGTTCCTGGGCCGATCAGGATGCATGGCTTGGTTGGCTCCTCTGGGAGGTGGAATTCATTAGCACTAAAATGCAAAAAAATATGTTAATTAGGTAATTACTTTATGGGGTCATATGAATAGAATTCTTTCAGCATTTTCTAATGATTTATGTATTTTACTCAATGTAAGACATGGTAAAGGATCTCATCTCCGCAACGCAGTGCGTTCCCTCTCTTATCAAACTCAGATATTCCAACCTGTACTCACCAGTCACGTGACAGTCACATGTAAACAATGAAAAAAAACACTGATGAAGCTGAACTAAGACCCGCTGGTTTTTGTTATTTTTTCTTTTCTTTTTTCCCTGTCATACACTCACCTGCGCACAAAGCACGGAACTATTCCATTCAGAGCTATTGTTTTCAGCCATGTGGTGCAAACTCCATGGTGCAAAGGCCCTTGTCCACCTAATCAGAGCAAAGGAAAACACACTGTCAGTATTGAAAAGCTCTCTGTTTTTAAAAAACCAGCAGTTTACACTTAAAATTGTGGGTTTTAACTGAGTGAATATCTAGTAATGTTATAAAACAAGGATACACTGATGATGATGCAGGATTTAGGCAGATCCACACTCGGTATGAACACCTGCACCACAGTATACTATTCTGCATGTATCACGATAAACTTTTTGTTACAGATACGCTTCATGCCATGCAGCAGACACAGTTTTTTTCTGAACCACAATACAGATAAATATAATTTAATCAAAAGATAAATGAAAACAACACTTAATTACCTCTTGTCCTGTAGTTTACAACTGCAACCGTCAGATGAATCTCTCTGGGTGTCATGTCACAGGAGGAACTGACAGAGTAGTACCTGGGTTTCAGGAATGGCAGCTGAGTCAGTAAGAAAGCTGTTGAGACCTCTGCAGAAGGAAACTCTTCCAGGACCTCCAGGATGTTCGGGCTGTTGTAAAACTTCCATTTATTGTATTCTTCTGTGCTCTAAAAGCCAAAGGCCACCATCACAATGTTATCAGGTCATACTGAGCTCAGGAGAGCAGGGATAATCTGAAGTGTCACTTATGAACAAGACTCCTGCTTTACACTCAATTCAATATGCAGGCAAACCCACTGAGAATTCTCAAAACTTTGCCTAGACCAATACTGGGGTTTCCTAAGAAATAGTTTAATTTTTGAAAACAGACGTGCAGAATACCTGCTATAATTTTCTCAGATACCAGCGCTCTCAGTGAGGACGTAGAAACCGAAGTAGAATCTGTTTCTCAGCCCCCTGCTATGGGATATCCAGAAAACTGCATGTGCCCAGGTCCCGATACCCGCTGAGCCTTGCTGCAGCCAGCACGAGAAGCAAGCACTTACCACGCCTGTGAGTCACCGGGTACTGACAGCAAAATCCTTCTTACTCACGGTACCACATTCTCTGACAAAAATATCTACCGGCTCCCCTCCAACCCCTCCACCTGCAAACTGTAAGGTCTTCTCATGGTTTATGATCAGAAACCCCCATGAGGCAGGCAGGAGAAACAGGCAGGCAGTGACCCACCCAGGGCCACACAGGAAACGGAGCTGAAGAAACCTCCTGATGCCCACACCCAAGCTGAGCCACAGGACCAGCCCTTCTCTCACTGTGGTTGGTCTGACAGGCACACAGAACATGTAACAGAGGGAAAAAAATCAATCCCCATCACTACAAACACTTCTTAAGCTTCTGCTACACAGTCAAAGGGCATCAGATGGTCCAGCATACAGCACTTCAACACAGACCTAGCCCCAACACGTACCTGACACAAAACTTCCAGTCTCTGCTTGTCTCCTTCTGCTGTTACTAGCTGGGAGAGTTTTTTTAGCAGTTGTTGGGAGGGTGGAGTAGTGATATCAAGCAAGTATGTCAAAGCCTCGGAGAGTGTGCAGGCTGGAATCTTTTTGTCACTTGTCCAGTAGCCACCTGGAAATGAGGGAAACAGAACATTTGGCAATTCCCACGGCATTTGACAGCTGTAGAGCTTTGCAAACTCAGTGTCCTTCAAAATACAACTTCAGACTAAGTTGCAGCAGGTCTAGTTGACAGGGCTTTTCTGAAAAAGGTTAGTGCGAGGGTTCAAACTTTTTAGTGTGAGGGTTCAAATAGGTAGCAACAATAAGAAAACTCTGTAGATTAATTTAATTGTGGTCCATGGCCAATTTAGCAATGGAATTACAAACAGTGACACAAAACTGACACAAACAGTGTCAACCTGGGACAACTCTGCGAACACCAGCAAAGTCACCATGGACTGCCAGAGCATGCAGAATGAGAATTGAGAATTGTAACTAAAAGCATCAACAAAATCCTATTGAAGCTTAAGAAAAGAATAATAGAATCAAATTCAGCCTATAAAAATCCTCAGGAATTTTTGAGAAATCTGTCAAATGCCTGTTATTTTGTCTAAAGAGAACCAACTCACCATCAGTGCAGGTTTCAAGTCTGATAGTCTGATCAGCCGGAGGGGCATCCTTGACACGTGCAATGAGGCCATGGACTAATTCGGGCTGGTTGCCTGGGAAAATCCCGATGTGTTCTCCAGGCAGGTAGCGCACTTCCTGATTAGTCTCACAGGAAAGCTTAACCAGAATGGTAACACGACTAGATACAGAAAGAAAGAGACAGATCTTGGTTATGTCGACAGGATTTCCCTTGGACTGCGCAGAAAAGGAATAAATATGAAGTGACAGTTGGCAAGGGCTTACTTGTGTTCATTACCAAATTATCCAGCCCGCTTAGTACTTCACAGAGACTTAAATGAATAATAGCCAGATTACTCTGGCTCTACTGACGCCTGAACAGCTCACATCTTAAACCAGCTCAGAGGACTTCCCGTAAGACAACTGTATTTAGAACAGGGATGAAAGAGACCTACTGGAGGCCGCTGAAGAGCCATTCATGGGTGCTATTTCTAAAACAGATGTCAGCACTGATTATCCTTTTGTATTTTTTTGTTGTATTGTCTGTCTCAGCTTGCTTTGCGGTCCAACTGAACATAGCAGCTTCTTGCACTAGATATTTTACTTTTTTTTTTTTTCTGCTAAGGGGCAACTTTTTCCCTAAATGAAGTAAACATTTGCCTGGCATGTAGCATACCAAGCAAGAGTGAGGGACCATACACCTGATCTTCCACATTTAGTAGGTATCAAAGGGCCATATCACAAAGTTATTTAGTGCCCTGCACTCCCAGACTCTACTGGGACATCCCTCCTGTCTAAATCGGAGCTAAGACTGTACATATTCTTGTGCTCTTGTGATAATGATTTGCTTCTAATAACAATGGTACAAAATTCCTATATATTCTTTAGCAACTGTAGGGAGATGGTGTTTATAACCAGGCATTTAAGATTCTGGTAAAATGTGGTATTGCAATATTCAAAAGAATGAGGTAGCATACCTGGACTTTAAACTTTGAAGATTCTGTCTGAATTTCAGCTTCATGGGAATTATATCCTTGGCATGAATGTTTGCAAGTGCTGTTGAGAAAAGAGGACATGACTCATGTCAATTTTTTTATTAGGTTTGTTTAAAATGTCTTCAAATAATATGCAGAAAAGAACTGAACCATGCTCGCCCTAGAATGAGATATTCATTTAGTCAGTTACGTGTCCTATATGCACGCCTTCCCTGACTAAAACTAGTTCATCTCAGCTTCTGTTCATCTGGGGCTGTCAAAATGCGTGCTAGCTCTTGTGTTGTGATGGTACTGTGCTAGAAAGGATATTGATTTACGCAATGTAAACCAATGTCTTTTTTTCTCTGACCACTGTACTTTTATTTTATTAATTCTAACATGTAGCAGGATCAATATCACTTCCAGAAACCATTTACAGCTCAGACCTATCTGAAGAAAAACGGACAGAGGAAGTGGAAGGTGAGAGGTAGTACCTTTAACCAAGTCCATGGTTTGAGAGTCACGCACTACCCTGTAATTCTTCGGATCCCAGCTGTCATCAGAGGTATATATCTCAGGCAACTGAATACTGTTTTTCCCACGGATGTTAAAAACGTCACAGGCAGTCTAGAAAAAAAAAAGAAAAAAAAAGGCTATTTATGGTAAATAAAAAATAATCTTATCATTATCATAATCCTAATGGGGACATATCAATTGCACAGATTGTTATTGTTTACTGATTCTGGTGAGTTCAGTGATGTTATAGGGCTTCAGTGAATTCATAAAGATTCCACTTCTATACCAGTATAGCTAAAAAAATTATCTATTTTGAAAAATTCTGATGTCTGATGCAACCACCCTTATACATACTGAGCATCCCACTATCCAAAAGCTTCAATGGAACTTTACGTGAATACCAAAAACAATAGAAAAGGGCCCCAGTTCCCTCCTCAACTTAGGCAAGCAGTGGAAAAGAGTGGAGTTTGAAATTTGGACATAAATCCAGATGTTTATTTTCCTTCATTTCCCCCCATTTTTATGGGATGCTAGTGAATATTGAAATAAAATGAATGAATGAAGAAACTAAAATACGAGCTATTTATATAGTCACCTTGAATGCACTGATTGCCCATGTGCGAAAGGCTTCTTCTTGCCCATTGAGTTCATCTCCTTCACCTATGGGAAGGAGCTGAGCAGCCCCTAGCTGGGCCAGTTTTTGGTCAATGGCATGAGCAAAGGCACAGAACTCTGGATACATGCTGGACCCCAAGCCAAACACAGCATATCTGCAGCAGGAGATAAACATCACTGTGTTATGCTAAATGAAATGCAAAAGAACTCAATCACATGTAAATCAAACAACAAAGTATTTTTACCTAATTTTTTTTCTCAGCAACTTCAGGGTGAGCAAGGCGTTCTTCAAGGTCTGTATAAAAATTCATAAAATACTTAAGGTTATAAAAATATTCAGATTTAAAACAGAAGTCAGACCCTGACCCATATCTGTATCAAGTACAAATGAAAGGGTTGTCTTTGGTCTCGGTCTTTGAGTTGAGCCTCATAGATACTTCCAAGGTGAAAATTACCTTTCCATTATTTGGAGAATCTCCATTTCCAAAAGTGCTAGTAACCACCAAAAGAAGTGTTTCTTTTTCCAGGTCACAGATATTGTACTCATCCATGCACAGAATCTGGAGGGTATAAAGCTCATGAGAAATTGCTAGCAGACATAAGAACGGGCATTAGATACCTCTGTGATTGTCAGATGACCATTGACCAAATTTACAAGGCATTATGCTAAATGAGCACAAAATGAAAGTTCTAGTCCAAATTATATTTACTGGACATTCAAAACATCGGTTTAGAGAATGAAAAGGCTTGCAGAAACTGATAAAACTAGACAAGTTTCTTTCTCCATTTAGTGTGGATGATTTATACCTTCCTACCTTAGTGCTGAAGGCACAGTTGAACAAGCTGCACAGGTTGTTGGCCAGTGTTTCGGATTTCCCAGTCTCTGTTGCATAGATTACAGTGACCTTGGACCTGGTTGCCATTGTTCGTCGCATGAGTGAAGATGCAAAGAATACAGCCCTGAGAAAAAAAAAATTCACATGTATTTTTTAATACAGCTACACAGTACTTCAGATTGATTCACAAACAAGCTAGGAAAGACTGATCTTGAGCACGGCTTTTCCTTGGAAGGTTGTTCAGAAGCAATACACTACGGATGGCCCTGAATAAGAATCTTAGATACGAATATTACCTGCCTGTGGACAGGTAAGTCTACAATTCAAAAAGTTCAAGTGGTCCCTACTGTAATAATTATTAAAAAAATGTGGAACAGAAACATCACAAGAATAGAATATTTGGCAAAAGCATGAAGACTCTTATTTGAAAAACTTACTTTGCCAACATGCTAAACTTTATTTCTTTTTTCTTTGGCCTCCGGGTCTCATCATGCCAGATATGTGTTTTCCATGCATCCACCTTTAAAAAAACAAAAGTCAAGCTTCAGGTAAGAAATGTACAATAATAAATAAACAATTTGCCTGTCTTTGAAAGGGTCAGATTGAAGAGAATCTGTATATACAATCTACTGTGTACAAATACAGGATCAGTCTCTGTAGCATTAAACTGCATTTTACTTACAGCCGAACTAAGATCACCTTGCACAGTGTAACAGACATTGCCTGCTCTTTATGGATCTCTCTAGAGAGCTTTCGTTAACCAGGGCTTTTCATTCAGACTCCTTCAGGTCCCATACTATCATCTGCATTGCTGACGTTGCCTACTAGGGTCACATTTTTTTGGATAATGTGTACCTGGTAGTAATAGAAGGGAGTGAGGACATAGTTCAGCATCTCCTGGTGGAACACGGGGGTTATGCTCCCTGACATAGGAGGCACAATCCACACCCAGTCAGCTGGGCAGCCTCCTCGCGCACGGTACTCATTCTGCATGTATTTCATAAAGGACTCGGCAGCTGAGTGGTGATCCATGATAGTCACATTTTGTTTCTAGAATAATTGCAAAAAGACAGACATACATTAAAAAGCGCATTCTAACTACAGCAGGAAGAAGAGCAAAGTAATCCTTTTGCTTTGGTTAATATTTCAAGGACTTTATACAGTGCTGGGAAATAATTACTATCAGCAACTATTATATAGATACAGATCGAGATGGACCTTTGATTAAGGACTCTTATGCCTTTTTTTTTTTTTTTTTACATCAGCACTTTACCTCTCCAGCACTGGGAGTGCATGCTGAAAAGCCTCTGATTCATTTTAACTTATCTTTCATATTGTTATGATACACTAAATAAACTGTAGTTGTAAATAAAAGATACAATCCAATGGCTTTACATAGATTTTGACACTTAGACATATGTGTTAAAAGGATGAACAATCTTGCCCTTAGCTTCCTTTTCTTTTTGTCTCCCTTCTGTCTTCACATGAGGCTTTTTTCTGGCAACAACAGAAAATACAGATTCCTCTACTTTCCCAGGGGTAAATCAAGAATAACTGCACTGGAATTACACTGATAACCTCCACCGAGCACTGGTCCATGGCACTGTATTTGTATAAAGCTGTTATAAGTGACAGGAAAAAGCGACACACAATATTCAGTGTCTCCCCAGACACCACACTCATTGACTTACTTGGAAGCTATAAAGCACAGCCACATTTATCTCTACAACAGCTCGGTCTTTCCATAATGATGAAAGTTTGTTTGTTTCCAGTCCCATTCTTCTTCCTACCTCCTACATGCGAAAAAGAGAGGGACAAGGGAAAAGCAAATTTACCATGGGGGACTTAGACCTCATGATTTCTTGACCTCATCACATTAAAATGCAGGAAGAAGTATCGTGGAACGGTGAAGACTCAGGCTTATGCTGGGGAGAGTGATGTCGGCAGAAACACTTGAGATTAGAGGTAAACGTGAGTTACAGACTTCTGGTTCCTGAGGCTATTCCAGTCTGGTAAAGTGGGGAGTGGTTCTCTCCTGGACTAAACGGTTTAAAAAGTGGCACTATCTGGTTATAAACTGTCATTATTAATTTCTGCTGGTGAGGTGACCAAGACTTGCAGATAACCACCAGGACTCCAGTGCCTTGTCAACTGCAGACTGGAACTGACATAAACATACCTCTGAGAAAACAGGTAAAATTGGGGAAGAACTCTAGACAGCATTTTAATATTTTATTTACAGTTGCAGTTTCACCATTCTATCCAGGTACTTGGAACAGATACTGTCACAACACATTCATACAATCTGGCAGTCATAATCTTGGCAGAAGTTCAAGATGTCCCACAATAGTCAGGAAACTGTGAAGTTTCAGGGGGATGTAAATACACCCATCCCAGCAAAGACTGATAGAGTCTCTTTTCCAAAAATACTCCACCCATCAAGCTCATTCCCTTCTCAGATCAACACACTTGTACTTCAGAAGGTTACCTTCAGGATGTTGTATCGCTGCACATCACAGAAGTCTCGCACTCCTATCTCTGTCCCCATGTACCAGCCGTTGAACGGACACCCAGTAAACTCCAGGCCTCCCACCTCAAGCAGCATGTTGGCAACAGCAGGCAGCGCATACCACTTCAGATCCAGCTCCTTAAACCACTCATACCTGTTAAACAAGCATTTTGAGTTATTAAGTTATGTGTCTTTTCCTCCTCAAGGTGATAACCAGGAAAGTCCAGGAGGATGAAGAGTACCAGCTCTAGGAGAAACGACCCATGAAGCCTGGTCTGCAAAGGCCCATAGCAGTTTCCATTTCCAACGTGGGAATTGCCCACTAAAGAAATTGCAGAACACTATTACAGAGCCACTGTAATGCATGCTGCAGGCCACTCTCAAAGCAAACACGAATAAAAAAAGACAGAAAGGCAATAAAGGTTTTGTTACGAGTGCAGCCACATTACACGTGTATGACACTGGCATAAGAAATTATGATTTTTAAAATTCTGAATATAATTGAAATGTAGATTGGGAAAAAAATAGATTTCCAACAAAAATGCTTTTGGCTTCCTTAATTTAAATCTCATTTCATTTTTCTAACAAGCATTTTATCTTTCAGGACAATTTACCATAATTTCATCCTAACAAAGAACTCATAAAATGACTGCCACAGGCACAGACTAATAGCCTGCCAAGGTGAGGCAGAGGCAAAAACGCAATTTTCTAATCCTGTGTGCTTACTTTGGATGTTCCATTGGCACTTCGAGGACAATTTCTGGCGGGAATTCAAATATTTCTGGGTCTTGTCCGTTTGCTTGGAGAATGAGTGGAACCACATCAAAGCGGCCATATTTCGGCTTCCACCCAAGCTCAATGCACAACTGTAAAGAAAGTACGTTTCAGGTTTTTGTAGTTTTCCCCCCTTGATTTGAAGACAAAAGAATGTTAACCCTCTAAAACTTGCTGGGGTAAATTCTGAGTGATAATCTTTCCCATTCAAACAACACAGAGACACATTGTTCAAGCGCTGATTGTGTCCCTGACTTAAGGGGAGGATTAGCTCACCCTGTTCTGAGATGGAGGGAAGTATTTTAGATCAAGATTGTAAGAAATTATTGCTCCAGCCTGCACCTAGAACCTGTGGGGCAGAACATCCCAGGCACTGCTTACCACCACACTTCCCTCCCACTCTGCACAAACATGCAGGAACAAGAAAAAGACAGAGATGGGGCAGACAAGATGGACAGCAGTTACGATTCTGTGTTTGTAACTGTACCTGCGTGAACTCCACACTGGCAGGGTCTCCTACAATAGACCCATCTGGCATTTGATATCCAGCATATCGGATGAGCTGGCTGTTCCAGACACGGAAATCGTGTTTCCCATCAGTTCTCTGGGGGAAGATAGTGATGGCTGATCTGCCCAGGGAGACAACCAAATCCTGTTACACCGCAGCAGCACATCAAACACCTTCTAATTGTTAACACATAAATTGTTACCAACAGCAATTATTTTGTATTTCTAAAATAAACATCAGTAGAAATAACATCACTCATCCTCTCCACCCACCCCCTTAAATGTTCAAATCTCCTTTCCCCAGGAATTATGAAAGGCAAAACCTTTCCAAATTGTTGACGGTAGACATGAGAGGAACATATAAGTACCAGGAGAATTAAGAGCAGAGACAAGTTGTCAAAATATTTAGATAGACCATTTCAGGTCTTAGGTAGAGTTTTGCATCCAGATCTGGATGTGATTTTTGTTGTTTAAAATTCAAACGAAATAAACGATGCCTACCTTATATTTCCATTGTTTGTGGCATACTGAACATGACGACAGATATGCTCAAACATTTCCTTCGCTGTTTTACAATCACGTGCATCAAATACCTACATATTTCCAAGAGAAATGTAAAGAAAAAAACTGATTTTGAAACCGTAACATAAGCTCATTATTTTTCTTATGCAGTTAAGGAAAGATCAAGGAAAAAAGTGAAGTGAAAAATCAGTATTTCTCAATTTAATAGTAGCTCCACTAGGAAATGTTTGTTTTTATTGTTCCTATATGCATCATTTTCACACATAACAACCCTCCAAAGACCAAGACATGCACCTGGTTCCATGACTTAATTGGTTCCTACACTAGCACTCCTGCGTGTTTTCATTCAGCTATGAAGCAGAGAATTAAAAAAAAAAAAAGCGTTGATCTTATGAGATGTACAGGAGGGAGCAGTCCTCAGTTGAAGCAACTGGTATATTTTACCAAAGTAAAGGCCATTCTTCTGATTTACAGCAGAAGACTATTTGGCCCATACTATCCCGACTCGTAGGTTACCTGCAGATTGGACCACTGGATTCTCCCAATACACCTAGGCGCGTTCCTCCAGGCCTGCTTGGCAGCAAAGATCAGCTCATCCTTTGTCAGATGGTAGGTTCCTGTTGTTTCTATCTCCTTGGTCACTGTTTCCAGTCGCACCAGGTGTTCTTCTATTTTTGGCCTTTTGAACAGGAAACAGCCATGAAAAGAAACAATGAGAATTTCATTACTTAGAACTGATTTCAATTGCAGACATTCTCCTTATGTTCTGGGCCAAGACAAGCACAGGCATTGCTGAAGCCATAAAGCTTTTGAGCATCCTTTTGCATAAGACGACTTCTACGCACACCACTGATTTTATCTGCCAGAATGCAGGTAGAGGAAACTCCCAGGGAAGGGACTAGCATCCATGGAGGCTGAGATATGGCAGGTTTGGATAAACACTGACAAACCTGTTCCTGTTATGAATCTACACTCTCTGGACGTAGGTCAACACAAAATGCTCTATCCTTTATGAAAACATCCATCACCTCCCGAAGTCAGCAATTTTGCTGTGCCTCAGATGTGAGAAGTCACCATCATCTGTTCACCACCTCCCTTCTACTGCACCACCCTTCTGTTCCCAAAGCACAGCTGTTATCTATTGCAGCAGTCTAGGCTCCAAGATTTTATCAAAAAGCAGGGGGTATTCTAGGTAAAGCGATGAGTTAAGTACATAGGACACTGACTGAGGACTGCTGGGAATTTTTCCTGGCCTCGGAATCTAGGAACTCTCCTTACTGAGTGCAAATGACAGAGCTTACTCACCTGATGAAGAAACTAACACACTAGAAATTTAAGTAGTGACACCATCCTCTCACCACCCAATACATACATGGATTGATCACAAGCTTTTCTGGGTAAGCTTTCAGTTTAAATTTGGATTTTCTCCATTAGTTTGGAAAAAATTGTCAAATCACAGGCAAATGAAAAGTAGAGAACAGGCTAGCTTCAGCCCCAAAGTAGGATTACAGTGACTGCTCTCTCAAAGCTCTATTATGTCCACAGGGACACAGCTCTTCTGAGCAAACCAGGATTTTTGTTCCTACAAGGAAGTGCTGAGCAATTCCTTTGTCAGGGAAACCAACTCAAATTCTTTCATTTGATAACAGAGAAAGAAGTCAAAACATTAGGAAATGTTTATCACAGCACAGACAAAAATTGTTTTGTTGGCTTACAGGCAGATTGAAAATAGCCTGCACTGTCTGAGAGCTTTCACATTTTCAACAAGATGAAAGATCAAGGGCAAGCATGTAAGATAGTGTAAGTCAACGTGATCAAATAGCCATGAGCAGAAACACTGAGATGTGCAAAAGTAATATGCTGGCAAGTGAGTGCAGCCTGTGTGTAAGAGAGGGACTTTCAGAAAGATTCAGAAGGAAGAAAGCTTTGTAGAAGAGTTCAAAGTGTCTAAAGAAGTAGCCATTATGCAGCTGAGTCCCTTTGAAAGTCTGAAAATGTTTTATAACAGGATGAGCAAACATTGAATTGTCACTTGAAAGCTTGTCATGTGAAATGTCATCGCAAACTCTTGGACCTCAGATATTCAGCTTTTCCTGCAACAAGATGTCTCTGCACCACGTCCATTTTTGAGAACACACCTCTTTTCTGAAGCTAGAGCATCCCTCTCAGCATGCTCAGCACGCTTATGATGATGATAGCACAGAGCAAGGTTGAGAAGCAAGAGACTGGCCTTCCAATCTTTGGCTAAAGCCTTGAGAGTCAAAACAGAGAACAAGAGAACACAGAGAAAAGATAGTTGGAACAGCACAAACAAAAGGCATTACCCACATTATTTGTGTCTAAGACTGATCGGAGTAGGAGCTAATCCCATCAACATGCAGTGTTAAGAAAACGGAAGGTAGCATTCTGTAAGGGAGTCCTAACCAAGCTGCTCATTCTAAACATACCATCATGTAACACCCTCAGAAGGGATGGGGCTGAGGCATGCACAGTACAGGGTCCATTCCTGTATTCCCAAGACCTTGGATTGGCAGATATAGCAGAGGAAGTGCAGTAATAGTTTTATTTACCTTTTCTAATAGTCCTTATCTATTTGTGGAATGCATGCTATGTACCAGGATAGTTACCAATAGCTGTAAAGAAACCACTCCTATAGTCTCCCAAGCAGGTAGGTAGGTAGAGGAGTTTTATAGCAAAAGTGAAAGTAAAGTTGGCTTACTCTTTAAATGAACTGTAGTACTGCTTGATAAAGTCTATTGCCTGAGGTAAAAGCTCTGCAGGTGGAACTGGCCCATCCCTAGTACCTCTCACCAGGCTCTTCGGCGTCATGAGTGACCCTTGGCAGGCTTTGGTCCGGCAGTTGACAACCTGAAAAACAATAAAATGTCAGAAAACAATGTTGCACTCTGTATCTTTTTAAAGCTATGAAAAATCACTGTCCACGTTTCCGTAGCTTACCTCCTTTGCTGTCAGGTGTAATGTGTCAAGAAAGCTGGATCCATTTTCCAAGTTTCTTACTTTTACATGTCTTGGACATCTTGATATTTGGTTTGAAGCCTTGATACCATTTGGGGGGGGGTTCTAAACAGAGGAAAGATAAAAATACATACTGTCTTCAGATGTATTAAATATCTTAAAGTTTCATTTTAAATTTTTTTTGACCATTAAAATGCTACAAATTAAATTCAAGAAACTCAGTATGTGATCTTCTCCAACATGAATATTTATTTCAGTACAAAACTATTGATCTAATCTACAGCTTGATAGGAAATAGGAAAAAAAAGAAACTATTTTTGAACTAATCCAACAGCATCTGCCACTGCAAACCCCTTTTAAATTTCAATAAGGCCTCTTAACATAACAGTCACAGTCTCAGGAAAACAGTGAACCAGATAATTTTAGAGAAAGGATGTTCGTTACTAAAGGCTGGGTTTTCAAAGGTGAACAAAGGACTCACACACTCCAGTCCCACTGGGTCACCACTTTACCGTAAGCCTTACCAAAGCTCCTCTTTGTTCCGAAAAGAACTTTCATCCAAAGACCTCACAGCAGTTGTAACCTCATGTAATCACCGTCAGTCCTCACATGAGAACTTTGAGAAGTTGAGCAGTGAGCACAACCCCAGTGAACTGTTAGTATCAAAGAATGACCCTAGAAACAGACCTCTCTCACATCGCTGGCCTTTGCGGAAGTTATGATAGGTGGCGTCGCTATCTGCTTCTTGCTTGGATCATATAATTTGGCATCATCATTTTCTAAGCTTTAAAAGAAAGAAAGAAAGACAATCCAGTATAATGCAGTTTTAGTTTTTTAGTTTTACCTGCAGCATCAGTAGGAAGATGCTCAGAGCGGTCTCTGAAAGATGTACTGAGTCAATAAGCCAACCGTTCGCAGCAGCGCGAGAGGTGGAGTGGAGTAGAAGTCAATAGTAAAGCTACAATCAGCCCTTCCAGATCACTATGTGGGAAGGAAAACAACAGATATGGCCTGGAATGGTAAAGGTTGAGTATCCGTGCTGTAAGCTAAACCAAGGCCATCTGTACAGTTATGATCTGGCCAGAAAATATTCAGACGGATTAAGCAGAGGTTGAAATCTTCAGGGAAATGTGTGAAAATCTCAGCTGGGTCTAGTCTCCAGCCCATTAAGCAAACATACTTCTACATTAATTTCCTTTGCTTTCTGCACCAAGTCTTACTTTCTGAACTCCTACTTTTTAATTTGGACATCAGCTTTCAGAAGATGTTCAAAAACACACAAGAATCATCCAGACCATGAACTCCAAACAAAACCCTTAGTTTGGAGAGGGCAGTGATGTGTTTTAGCTAACTGAGCACGTGGTCACCCACTTCCACTAGTCAGCTTCACGGATCTTCACATTTAAATACAAACTACTCTGAGCAATGACAGGAAAGGGTAGGGAATGGGCAGAGAAAGAAACGGTATGCAATGGAGAACTGAAATGAGTAACAGCCTGAAAACAGAGACATGTAGGATGCACGTGCAATTTATTTTATACAGTGTCTTGTATAAATCACACCAGAGGTACTTCAACTTAATTACAGCATTAATAATCGCTTTGCTAATTTTTATAGCATACACATGCCTCCTAAGTCCCAGCACACATGAAACCATTACAGCACATCAAGTAAATTCAGAACTATGAAAGAGAAAGCAAGATGATTTCTTTCCTCAATGACTGTACAACTTAAAAGCTTAAACGTACCTTGCACCACACAGTGACCCCCAGGGACAACTGTTCCTTGGTTAATATTATTGCTTTGGAAACACGTTACAGGTTTCTTCAGAACCTACGTCACTTAATATCTTTCCTTTTCAAATGAAAGAGAAACTATGAAGCCACTAAAAGACAAAGATCTTACCCATAGATCTTCCCATTTTTCTCTACGTTGTTATTGATATCCTTCTCTTCAGAGGGCTGCTTCTTAGCAGCATGGGGTTTGAACACAAACTGCCATGGGCACATCATTTTGTATGCTTGATTTATGATTGTAGTTCACAGCTGCTGAAATCTTGTTTTGTGTGATGTGGGAACACGTCTGAGGAGGGAAAGAAACAACAAGGTCAGTTTTTGACTCAGAAGGTAACACCCTTTAAAAGGGCTAACTGATCTAATGAACATCCTGTTTCTAAAAATGAAAATTGCTTGATGCTGAGTAGTGATACCAAACCTAACAGTTCTCTTTGTCACTGCAATGCTGCAGCCATGCCTTCTTCTAAAATCCCGGCAAGAGACAAATGCTCCCCAGCTGCATAAACCAGCAAATAACGGCGTATAAGGAAAGACGCACGCACGCTTTACTTGTACAAAAACATGTCTTGACACTTGGTGGGTTTTTTTACTTTTGTTTAGTGTTATTAAATGTTAATTCACATCAGTAGATGTTAGCTAGGAAAAGGGATGTAAAATCTGTCTGTGCAATTCACCTAGTAACTAAAAAAACCCCTGGTGTGTAAATTAACCAGAATGGTTTGCAATGTATCATCTGACAGAGACAAATGGAACGGAGATTCTGAATTCCGTCTTTTGTAACATATATATAGCACATGTTTGAATGTAACACGTAGCATTTATATAAGAACGTGCAAAGTTTAATGCTCTTCATTTTAACATACATTTCCTGCTAATTTTTGATACTAAAATAGATTTTTGCACCAGGGAAGGTGTGACAGGAGAAAAAGAGCAAACTAGTAAATTCCTAGGTAAAGCAGAATTAGCCTCAGCACCTGAATCTGGTACATAACTGAAATAAAGTGTTGTTTCAAAAAAAATTAAAGAAAGAAAATACACATTGGCATATATTCCTGTTGTAAATTATGTATTGTTTTGTTGTTTGTATTGCTTTTTCAGTAAAAGCAAAATTTATATTGCTGGGCTCCAAGATGCTGTCTGCTGTAAAATCACACAAGAAAATAAATCCATTCAACTATCTGTGCAGAAACTGGAAGGTGTTAGGACTTGTCTGTTACTCTAAGTAAAAGAAACAGTGTATAATAAGCATTTCTCTACAGTTACAAAATAGGATCAAATCTAAATTAGTCTTCTGCAATAAAAAATGCTGCAACGTCCCTACGCATTTTTGTAAAACACAGGGGAAAAAGAGAAGGAAAAAACAGGGGAAGAGAAAGAGTGAAAGAAAAGGAAGTTAGAAAGAAAGAGAAAGAGAAATAGAAAGAAAAAATAAAACAGAAAAAACTAAAAAATAATACACAAAGAAAATTAAAGAAGAGGAGAGAAGAATAAGAGGAAAAATAAACATAAAAATAAAAAAAGGAGAATAAAATCAAAACAGAAAAAAGGGAAAAGGCGCACATCTTCCCTTCACTGGCAATCAGAGTAAGAACTTGCTTGCTTTTCACATTCTCCACAACAGAATTCTTTAAATAACATCTCCAATATCATCTGTTACATGCACCAACCTTTAAATCAGCAGAAAGGGAGATGAAGTTTTCAGAGCAGGAGGACAGCCTGGAAATAAAGCAGGAGACTGATTCCAACACTTTACTCCTAATATGAAAAAAAATACATTTTGCCATATAATTACTTCACTTACGAGCTACAGTAAACGAATGACCAGCTGAACACTGTGCTGTCTTACCGTGCTTTTGTGGGAGATTTTTTCAAACCTGCCAGGAGATGGTCTTCTCTGTCAAAGTTTCCCTCCTTTAATCTCTCCTGCTCTGTATCAGTCCTGCCAGGCAAAAGCATTTTATACTCCAGGACCGTGTATGCAAAGTAGCAGGCTGCACATGGACAGTGGACAAAAGGGGAATCCCAAAAAGTCCCATATTTCTTTCAGACCCAGAGGGCGTGTAGCTGATGTGCTGCTGCAGGATTACATAAGGCGTGTGAGGGGCGGGAGGGCAGGCACTAGTTCCTGATGTTACGAGCATCCCCTCCTTCCCACACAGGGTGCTGTGACCTTGCTTTCTACACGTGCTCCGCGACAAGGACAGTGTCGCACATCCAACACTTTCTGCAGCCTTGCAGGCAATGTTAAAATTAAAAAATAATATCCCTGAAAGAACCCTTACTGTTTTTATCACTGGATGGCCATTCTCCTACACATCAAACTGGCAGCTGCAGAAAGAGTCAGCCTGCGACTTTTATAAACAACTTCAAGAGAAATTTTGCAGAACCATAGAGCTTCAGGGTATGGACCAGTAAAGCACATAAACAGATGATTATAACTAACAGGTATTTTCTGTTTAACATAAATATATTACTTCCTTATTTTTGAACAACTTTCAAAAGCTCTTTCTCAACAGATCATTTGTAGAATTTCTTCCTCTCCAGAAGTCCCTGTTGTACCTGCTGCTGCCTGTGAGGTTCGTCCCTTTGTGCTTTTTTTTTTTACTAGAAAAACTGGGAAGAAACTGCAGCTCCCTGAAGTATGAACTAGTCACACAACGTTGTATGTGTGAATGCCAGACAAACAGCTGGATGATGAAGATGAGATTACCAAGCTGATTTTTAGTTTTAGACAATGTGGACATTTACATATCACAAAATCAGGTTTCCACCTGTGGTCTGAGAGCCAGAAGCAGTCCCGGAGTGAACGGCAGCACGCAGTACAAAGTGCTGCCACGCAACTCAGAAATGCTGCGGTACGCCGGGGCACTCGCAAGGATTTTGGCCCCACTTACTTGTTCATTGATATTATGTAAGACTATTTTAAGGAAACTCTTTAGAACTGCTTTCAAATTGAAGACAATCCTTAAATCTGCTGACTAATACAAGGTCAAAACCATTGCAATGATAACTAGAGAAAGATTTACAGGCGTTGATCAAAGATCTACAGAAATAAGGCATAAGCTGCAAGAGAAACAAGGAAACACATTCTCTTTTCAACTGTCACATTTTTACTGGACAACTTTGGGCATGTAGTTTTCTTCTTTCTGTGTCTAGTTTCTGTCTTTAGAGATGAAGGTGAAGTGCTTGTGTAAGGTACTCCTAGAGGTAAACAGAGTTATGCATACACGTGTTCATGCATGAATACGCCTGTATATACCCCATCCAGGGTTGCTAGAGATGAATCTCTTGAAAAATAGACCCGAGTTTTCCATAGTTTGAGCATTCATCTACTTGACTGTACCAAGCCCGTGCTCCTTTGCATTCACTGCTCATAAATGTTCACATTCAAACTTTTTTTTTTTTTACATGATGCCCTTCCGCTCACCAGAATTATCACTTGACATCCCCGTGTTTAAAATATTCCAGACATATCAGCAGGCAGAAACAATGTGTGAGCTGTGTGACCCAATGCTACACCACAAATTTCTACCTTGCTTCTGGTTGATGACAGCTCTTCCCAAACCATACAGACGGCTGTAACTGCTGGAGTGTGGCTACAGCTCTGTCTCTCCAAGCGTCACAGTGAAGGTGCTTGAACAGAAAGGAAACTTCTGAGTGCAAAGAGCAGGGTTCCACTCGTCTTTGCAGCTGGTGTTTTGTCAGGGTTTAAAAATTCCATTTGCATCCTTCCCTTTCTTATTAAATCTGACCTCTCTTTTCTACAGAACATGGGGAATCTCAGTGTCTAATACTGTAAAAAAAGAACATCTCTCGACAGAAATTTAAGTGACTTCAATTATGACCAATGGTTTCTAAGCTTTTATTCAGCCTCCTTCTTGCCCTGTGCTTGGAGACCACTGAAATCAAGGAAAGGCTGTGTAGAGATCTGATATGAAAAATCAGATTTGGAATGACCAGAAGAGGAGAAACATCTTCTCTCCTCATGGTAATTGTTTAAAGGATTGGCTGAAGTACAGCCATTCAGGGAACTGCTCAATTCTATGATTAATCACTCCAGTTTTTCAAAGAGGACCTCTTTTACTCACAAAAATCAATAATAGAACTCCCTCTGTATAGCAAGAACAAGAGAGCATGATTAATTTCTTAGGTGGAGTCAGAGATTAACTAAACAAGCTCACTGTGCACTCCTTCTACAAATACTGCTTGGAAAGCTCCTTTCTCAGAAGACCAGTTCCACAAATATTTCCTATTTTTGCACAGCCACTTCTTGCCTCTGCCATATCAAAATGCAGGGACTCCTTGCTTTTCCTGCATTAACTCTGATGAAAGAGGTGCCCTTTCGGAGTGGAATGTTTGACCTATTCAGTGGCACTCTGACCACGCTGTCATTTTGAGTTAAATTTTGTTTTGTTTCTGAAAATGTGATGGCCTGTAGCCTCAACAATAAGCTTTCTGCAATTTCATTCAAATCAGTTCACATTCTTTGTCTGACTGCAATGTTCTGCATTGGCTCAAGAAGTTATATTCTTAAAAACATTTTAAAAACAAGCTCCGTAAGGTTGCTCCTCTGAGATCAGGACACTGCTGAGGCCTTCAAGCACTGCTACCCTGAGGCAAAGCTGATGATAACAAGGGCTGCCTTTCCTAACTTCATGTATTCCTAAACAGATGATGTTCAATTGTCCCAACTTTTCATAAATTACTAGTGATTTTTTTCCAACTCCCTTTTCCTAACTAATCTAACTATTTTCTAACTATTTGACCTGCATCCATGATGATCTTTCGATAATGTTGCATACAGCATCACAAATTCAAAGTGCAACATTGCAGGCACCTATACACACTTGGCACCTGAGAAGATCTGTTAAGACTGTGATACAGATAGAGTCCTCTATTTGCATTTACAAACCGGTGGCTCTGTTCTTTATGCATTTGCTTTTCCTGAGGAAATGCTGCTTCCCGCTTCACCCCATTTGATTAACTTCACTGGCTGAACAGAAAATCTGGTCCTTAAAGTCCCAGTAGCACATGGTCATTAAAAAAGGATTGGAAAGGATCCTCACATTGCACCTGGTCCATCTCCCAGCCCGGTCAGCAAGATCAGCTGTAAATAGGATATTTTTGAACCACCAGAAAGCAATTACAAGTCAGTATGAGAGGCAGGACTCAGAGCACAAAAGCTGCCCAGTAACCTGGGACGGGACAGCAAGGAG